GTTCTCTTCTGTGACATATCTTCAGACATACTTTCTGACATTTTTTCTGGCTGCCATTCTATCTGGCATATCTGCTGAAGTTCTTTCTGGCATTCTTCTGGCAAGGGTCCTGGCATTCTTTCTGACAATCGTTCTGGCATCTCTTCTGACATTCTTTTGGCACAGCTTTTGGCATTCTTTCTGGCATATCTTCTGACATTCATTCCTTCTGGCATATCTTCTGACATTCTATCTGGCATATCTTCTGCATATCTCCTCACATTCTTTCTGACGTATTCTTTATGGCATATCTTCTGACATTGGTTCTGACATTCTATCTCGCATATCTTCTGAGTTTCTTCCTGACATTTTTCTGGCGTTCTATGTGGCGTATCTTTTGGCTTGCGGTTGAGGTCCGGCGGGGAACACTGCCGTCCGGAACTGGCGGTTGAGGTCCAGCGGGGAACACTGCCGTCCGCAACTGGCGGTTGAGGTCCGGCGGGGAACACTGCCGTCCGGAGCTGGCGGTTGAGGTGAGGTCTTCCTGACATTCTTTCTGGCGTATCTTCTGACGTTCTCTTCTGTGACATATCTTCAGACATACTTTCTGACATTTTTTATGGCACAGTTTCTGCCATTCTCTCTGGCATGTCTGCTGAAGTTCTTTCTGGCACGCCGCCTGACATTCTTTCTGACATTCGTTCTGGCATCTCTTCTGACATTCTTTCTGGCATCTCTTGACATTCGTTCTGGCATCTCTTCCGACATTCATTCCTTCTGGCATATCTTCTGACATTCTATCTGGCATATTTTTTGCATAACTTCTCACATTCTTTCTGACGTATTCTTTCTAATGGCATATCTTCTGACATTCTTCCTGGCATATTTTCTGACATTGTTTCTGACATTCTATCTCGCATATCTTCTGACTTGCGGTTGAGGTCTGGCGGGGAACACTGCCGTCCGGAACTGGTGGTTGAGGTCTGGCGGGGAACGGTGCCGTCCGGTTGAGGTCCGGCGGGGAACGCTGCCGTCCGAGCTGGCATTTGAGGTCCGGCAGGGAATACTGCTTGCTGTCGGGAGCTGGCGATTGAGGTCCGTTGGGGAACACTGCCGTCCAGAGCTGGCGATTGAAGTCCGGCGGGGAACATTGCTATCGGAAGCTGCCGGTTGAGGTCCGGCGGGGAACACTGCCATTGGGAGCTGGGGTTGAGGTTCGGCGGGGGACACTGGCGTCGGGACCTGCCGGTTGAGGTCCGGCGTGGAACACTGCCGTCCGACACTTGCGGTTGGGGAGGCGAGGGGTCGGAGGAGGCTGAGGCGGAGGGACGCGAGGCAGCTGACAACAATCTAACAACCCTCACCTGACAGGTGGGGAAAATTCAAGGTTTCCAGAACGAACTGCGCAGGAACGTTGGCAAGCTTGGAAATTTATAGGTTAGGTGAGCTGAACACAAACTACAGTCGGAAGAGCACGAATGAACACGAGTCTTTGTTTGGCTATGGGCTGGAGGGCCTGGAGTTCAAGAATGCCGCCTCCAACTATTGCCTCGATGTGGACATCAATGGCAATGGAAATGCATACATGCATTCATGTCATGGTGGGAGCGCCTTGTCGGCCAAAGCACCACAACTCGCCGGCCGATGTCCACATCTGTGCTCAGACTGAAACGGCTTCCAAACGCAAAAGTTCAATCCAAGTACAACAAACCAGCAAAAAGACCATGGGGGGGGGCTAATCTTTCGTTTTTTCTACTGCAATATCACGAACTGTGCTTCTTTTCAGGTGCAACATATCGATGAATTCGGGTTGTTTTTGGGCCACTCCAGGCAACCAGCGCTTCATTTGGAATGGTGAACAACTTCAGTCAGAGGCCAACACCAACAAGTGCTTGGATTACTCGTTTGGTTCAGGCTGGGATTCGGGATAATAAGTGAAATTCACTGCTAGAAGAAATCGGTTCAACGCAGTGTGCAAATTAGATTACAATAATTAGGTTGTGAATGTTGAAGTCAGA